ACACAAGAACAAAGTTAAGTGAAGTTGAATGTATTGTGTTTTTTCTTAATAGCAAGCGAGGTGACGTGAAGGCCCTTTTGAAAACTACAGCGAGGATAACCCAGCGCAGCACTATTCTTGGACACTTGTGTGACTGACCAGGTCTGCCACGGGGGACCTGCGGTGTAGCTGAATCTGTCTCTCCACCTCCACCTGCATGCGGGCCATGGGACGGGCCAACGCCAGAGCCACACGGGCCTCCTCCTGCAGCCGCCGCTGTAACCGCCAGAATTCTGAATCCTCTGAGTCCAGCTCTTCCTCTCCTGTATCCCGGTCAGACAGAGAGGAACTCTGTTTGCTCTATAGTGAGACAGAAACAAAAACTGCTGAAAAAAAACACAATTTTTTTAATCACAGTTCCAAAATGTAGAAGAACTTTGTTTAATGCATTATTAAAAGGCTGGGCTTTATACCATAGGTGACAATGGGGTGTCCAAGCTGGTCTCTGTTCTGCTGTCCTCTGCATCACTGTCCCTGTCACTGCTGCTGTCATTCACAAAGCACATCTGTAGATTCACCCCATTCTGAAGCCTATAGTGAGAGTGCAATGAACAAATATATTAATTAAAATATTAAATTATTTTCAATTTTATTTCATTGCTTTTCATTAGAATGCATTTTTCATTTAGAATGCATTTTGAGGAGTAATCGGTGTTATTTCAGGGGAAAAAAAGACTTATTTCAGTCTTAAAGCATGAATAATTTTGTAGTAAACTGTACAGTATAACTCTAAAATAAACACGAGATAGTATTTACTGAAAAGAGAAAGAAAGAGTGAAAGTTCTATTTTTAGAGTTTGTGAACCACAGTTTCTCTTCAGTTGCAGTAGAATTTAGTGGTTAATAATATTCTATGAAAACACTGGCTGTAAGCTTCAAGTGAAGCCTGTATATAGAAAAATCAGAGTTCACTTCTGTAGACTGGTATGAACCTGGTTCTGTGGTATCTCTTGTACAGATAAGGGTAAATGCTATGGAAAATTACTCTGTGAAATATACTCTGTGGACTGGAGTGTTGTGTGGGAAAATACTGTATGCACATCAATTTTAATACTCATTGGACTTTCCTTTAGCTTTCTAGGAACCTTGTTGAAACGTAGTTGCGATACAAAAAAAAGACAGAGAAAAGCAGCAGCTACACCAACAAACATGGCCAGTCCATGGATTTGTGACGCAATAAAATGTCCTAATATAAAATGAGTGATAAATGGTAAGAGGTTTCGCTCTTTATTAAGAGAAAGAACTAAAAATAATAATTATATACAGTAACTATGCTAATAAATGTTTAGGAAAGATTAAATATAAAAGAAACAAAATTAGCACTATACCAGGCATATTTATTTGTCATGTAGGTCTATTTGCTTTTCATTCTCTAAGTCAGCATGTCAGACTCTGTTTAAATGTCATATTCTCTCGTTTGTTCTTTACATTAAGTTTAAAGGCAGAACAACGATGAATTAAAATAATCCTGAAAAAAAAACATAGCATTCACTTTTTGCTTGGACCAGACATAGGTACACTAAGTAAATATTTATTTATTTAAACAGACGTTTTACCCCTATTTTGAATTTGGCCCTTCATTGCATTGTGTTTTAGGGTTAATGGAAATGTTTATAAAACTAAGGGATAATATAAATAACAACTGCATAAATGACAACTACAAACACTGATCACTTAAGGAGCGGATTCTTGCAGAAGCATTATTTTGCAGATTGATTGCTGATATTTTCACTCTCTACAACATTTTTGCCTCTCTACATCAGCACGGTCTACATTTCCTCCCCGTGTTATTCTTGAGAAAATGTGTCAAGTCGACAGACACGATTTCTTCCTTCCCAAAGTGCTCCAAACATTAAACAATAAACAGAGCGGACTAAAATAGCCACAAAGTATGATTTTTTTTGTTCTTTTTTTCTGTCAAACATTTGTTTGCTCAAACAGTGGAAACAAAGTAGACTCAGATGTCAAGTGAGAAATGGGGTTGACTACTCAAGTTAACATGAATTATACGCTGAAAACAAATTATATATTTGGTATGCAATGAGTAAAATTAGATGATTCTGAGCCCTCAGTATGCCTCATGGCAAAAGGGACAACACACAAAAGAATTATCAGCAGAACCCTAAAATAAAATAAAACATTTCACATTTTGGTTTTTATTTGATCAGTTTGGCATAATTAAGATTTTTAATGTTGCTGAAAAACAACTGCATATATTTAATCAAAAATACTGTAAAAACAGTCATATTTTTTTTTTTTTTTTTTTTTTTAATGAATATATTTTAAAATCTACTTTATTTCTGTGATGGCAAAGCTGAATTTTCAGTTTTTGGGGTTTAATATTTTTGTGCAAACCGTTATACACTTAGCATTCAAAAGCCATAAAAAATAAATAGTTGAAAAGTGACAGACAATTATAGCCTAATGTTACAAAAGATTTCTATTTTAAACAAATGCTGTTCTTTTGAATTTTCTATATATCTATATCATAATGTCCTGAATTGCTTTTTTATCATGATTTCCAAAAAATAATCATATAAAACTGCCATTATTAATAACCGAGTACTAATAATAATTGAGCTCCAAATCAGCATATTAGAATGATTTCTGAAGGATCATGTGACACTGACGACTGGAGTAATGGCTGATGAGAATTCAGCTTTTCCATCACAGGAATTATATATATATATATATATATATATACACATACACACGTATATATATATATATATACACACAATAAAACAGAAAACAATCATTCTAAATTGTAATAACATTTATCAATATATCAGCTTTTACTGTGTTTTTAATTAAGTAAATATAGCCTTGGTGAGCAAGAGACTTTCAAAAACAATAAACAAAATATCGCAATTATTCCAAATCGTTGACCAGTAGTGTATAAAGTAACATTCCAGTCGATTACTAAAAAAAAAAAAAAAAAAAAAGATTCAACATTACATAAGACACCCCCCCATCCCACTGAACACAAGCGCACACTGACCGTGAGGACAGGCAGTTTTTGCTGCTCTTGCTGCAGCCAGTAAAGGTAACCGGTCCGTCGTCATAGAAACTGCCAAGGGCCAGCTTCTGCCTAATGGACTCTCTCTCATTCCTCTGGGCCTGACGAAAACACAGTCGACTTCAATAAATGAAGAGAACGCTCAGCATGTAGTAGGCCACAGAAGACCTCACATCCAGGAATATCTGATGTGGCATTTTAAAATAGATGTCATCCACTATCATACAGCTACGACTACTCAATGCTCGTGACGGAGTTTAAATAATGTGCTGGATTTTAAGGGCATGAAGGCATCGCTGTGGGAAAAGAGAGAGTGTGGATTGGAATTGGAATGTATGATATAAATTCTGATTTTGTGCATGTGGCGAAATCCCCGCTGTCTCAATAAACGGCCAATTACAGAGACGAAGAGAAAACTGCAGAGAGACCCGAGGCAGTATACGTGAAGGAAGAGCTCAGGCGCTCGACAAACATATCCACATAAATACAAAAATATGTTTTGATAACATTCCAGTTAAGCTATAAAAAAAACGTAATTTCTAAATGTTCTCCGAAAATTTAAAAAAATAAATAAAAATTTTCTTAGTTGTGCCATTTTAGCATTTTGCAAACATTATGGGAATGTCACTTTTGATATGTTTTCTGAACATTCTGAGACCGGAAAAAATTATTTTTAATGTTACACAAACATCCAACTAAAACATTTCTGGAAAAAGTTCCACAAACTATGTATAAATGTTTTTGTGCCAACATTTTGAGAACAGTATTAAAGCCTGGTAACTTTGAACAAACATTCTATTAATTTCCAGTTTGACCAGAACACTAGCCAAAGTTCTAAGAATGTTCTCGGTTAGATGGGTAAATACAGAACTGCGTGACTATTCCCGATTATGCTATATTGGCAAGAATAGCATGTTCTCTCAGATCTTCATATTACACTCTGTTCATTGCCATGGCAACATAGTTGCCTTCTGGTGCTGAATGACTAATACAAAAAAAAAATTATTTGAACTCAACACTGGAATAATTATAAGGCCTACTATTCTGAAAGTCAATAACTTTCCTTTCCTATATCTATGGACATTTTTCTCAGGTTGCATTTTCACCGAGATGAACATTTAGATAAAGTGACAGAGTAGAAGAGAGGCTGATTCATGAAGCACTCAAAAATTACAAAGGCAATTGAAAAACATCAATAGCTCTGCTTGTGATGTAATATTAGCAATCTGTAAACCAGCTTTCCGGTACAATCTGAAAAACATTAACAGCTAGATTCAATTGCTTTCATTAGTGGGAGATGTTGCCACTTCAAGCAAAAGTAGCCATCTATACAAACAAAAAAAATATGACCTTGTGTGCGATGGGTTGAATTAGTTCCAATTCAAGCGGCACCTTTTTTTCAGTTATCGTTGAACTAAATCTACAAGTATTTTAACATCCATCACTCAGTGTAATTTATTTCTTAGCATCACAAATTGAAATATAAATCTGAAAGCCACCTCACAAGCAACAACTTTGCAAATATGAACAATACATTTACACACACACTCATAAAGGCACACCGATGCCACAACACTAATGCTACATAAGATATATTGACCTATCTTACCTGGTAAACACATTTCTCCTGGTGCACCATCTTTCAGCGCATTGTATAGTGCAGCAGCCAAGCCCTACCTTCTACTGCAGTGTCTGAGCTACACCCTTGAGACCAGCATCACACACACATGAAAGGAGGGGGGGAGGAGGGAGTGTGCGAGCAAGCACGCTAAGGAGGAGCATAAGCATCTTGCAATGAAACGCATGCACTAAAGAGGCAGTGAAATAGATCAGTGTTTTGGCATCAGTTTCATACTAGATGTTCCAATCTCACAAACCATTTCCCCACTGTGGCGTGATCTCTATCAGCAGGCACTGAAGAAAAAAAAAAAAAGGCATGGGCATTTGATCATATTTGATTTATTGAATGGTTTAAGACAATTAGGACAACACTAAGCACAAACCAGCATGTTCATGAGCAGGAATCACTGCAGTATTAGCATTAAATCAGGAGGCAATCTTTTTCAAAGCCACATACAGCACATTACCAGCGTAATTCTAAGCATCTGGCCTCAGTCCTCATAATAAAACTTCATGGGAAAGAGTTGGGATCCGAAAAGTCCACAAATTGAAGCACGAAATGGTTTTTTTCATAAAGTACAGAACTGGGAGGTATATATTGCTGAGGTGGAACATTGGGAGGCTGGTTGGCAGAGGGTTTGCATTCAGCAGCTGCAGTTGTAGTACAGGGTTGAGGAGTGGTGGTTATAGGCGGTGCAGTAGGAGTTTTGGGAGGCTGAACTGGGTATTGTGGATAAAACGCTTGCAAATAGGAAGGATAATCAGGGTAATAACTATACTGAGGGAATAGACTTCCAGGGTATGCTGGGGGCTGCAGCGTCTGGGTTGTTGCTGGCGAGCCTGATGGGTGAGCAGTGGGGGTGGCTGAAGCTGGTTTCTCTGTGGGCTTTGGTCTGCCATAAGGGTAACCAGGATAGTGATAAGGCCAAGACATCTGGGGGTATTTGGGAGGTTGAGGCTTTTCAGCTGGGACTTGGGGATCTGATTCAGCGTTAGAGCCATCGGCTGGAACAGATTTCTCAGCAGGCTTTGGTCTGCCATAAGGGTAAGCAGGATAGTGATGACGGCAAGACATCTGGGGGTATTTGGGAGGTTGAGGCTTTTCAGCTGGGACTTGGGGATCTGATTCAGCGTTAGAGCCATCGGCTGGAACAGATTTCTCAGCAGGCTTTGGTCTGCCATAAGGGTAAGCAGGATAGTGATGACGGCAAGACATCTGGGGGTATTTGGGAGGTTGAGGCTTTTCAGCTGGGACTTGGGGATCTGATTCAGCGTTAGAGCCATCGGCTGGAACAGATTTCTCAGCAGGCTTTGGTCTGCCATAAGGGTAAGCAGGATAGTGATGACGGCAAGACATCTGGGGGTATTTGGGAGGTTGAGGCTTTTCAGCTGGGACTTGGGGATCTGATTCAGCGTTAGAGCCATCGGCTGGAACAGATTTCTCAGCAGGCTTTGGTCTGCCATAAGGGTAAGCAGGATAGTGATGACGGCAAGACATCTGGGGGTATTTGGGAGGTTGAGGCTTTTCAGCTGGGACTTGGGGATCTGATTCAGCGTTAGAGCCATCGGCTGGAACAGATTTCTCAGCAGGCTTTGGTCTGCCATAAGGGTAAGCAGGATAGTGATGACGGCAAGACATCTGGGGGTATTTGGGAGGTTGAGGCTTTTCAGCTGGGACTTGGGGATCTGATTCAGCGTTAGAGCCATCGGCTGGAACAGATTTCTCAGCAGGCTTTGGTCTGCCATAAGGGTAAGCAGGATAGTGATGACGGCAAGACATCTGGGGGTATTTGGGAGGTTGAGGCTTTTCAGCTGGGACTTGGGGATCTGATTCAGCGTTAGAGCCATCGGCTGGAACAGATTTCTCAGCAGGCTTTGGTCTGCCATAAGGGTAAGCAGGATAGTGATGACGGCAAGACATCTGGGGGTATTTGGGAGGTTGAGGCTTTTCAGCTGGGACTTGGGGATCTGATTCAGCGTTAGAGCCATCGGCTGGAACAGATTTCTCAGCAGGCTTTGGTCTGCCATAAGGGTAAGCAGGATAGTGATGACGGCAAGACATCTGGGGGTATTTGGGAGGTTGAGGCTTTTCAGCTGGGACTTGGGGATCTGATTCAGCGTTAGAGCCATCGGCTGGAACAGATTTCTCAGCAGGCTTTGGTCTGCCATGATAGCGGTAATCAGGGTGGTAGTAGTCTGGCAAAGACATCTGGGGGTATTTGGGAGGTTGAGGCTTTTCAGGTAGTGCTTGGGGATCCGATTCAGTGTTAGAGCCATCGGCCGGAACAGGTTTCAAAGTGGGTTTTGGGTTGCCATAAGGGTAACCAGGATAGTAATAAGGCCAAGACATCTGGGGGTATTTGGGAGGTTGAGGCTTTTCAGTTAGTGCTTGGGGATCTGATTCAGTGTTTGAGCCATCGGCCGGAACAGGTTTCTCAGCGGGCTTTGGTCTGCCATGATAGAGGTAATCAGGGTGGTAGTAGTCTGGCAAAGACATCTGGGGGTATTTGGGAGGTTGAGGCTTTTCAGCTGGTACTTGGGGATCTGATTCAGCGTTAGAGCCATCGGCCGGAACAGGTTTCAAAGTGGGTTTTGGGTCGCCATAAGGGTAACCAGGAGAGTGATAAGGCCAAGACATCTGGGGGTATTTGGGAGGTTGAGGCTTTTCAGCTGGTACTTGGGGATCTGATTCAGCGTTAGAGCCATCGGCCGGAACAGGTTTCTCAGCAGGCTTTGGTCTGCCATGATAGAGGTAATCGTGTGGCCAAGACATCTGGGGGTATTTGGGAGGTTGAGGCTTTTCAGCTGGTACTTGGGGATCTGATTCGGTGTTAGAGCCATCGGCTGGAACAGATTTCTCAGCAGGCTTTGGTCTGCCATGATAGCGGTAATCAGGGTGGTAGTAGTCTGGCAAAGACATCTGTGGGTATTTGGGAGGTTGAGGCTTTTCGGCTGGTGCTAGGGGATCCGATTCAGTGTTAGAGCCATCCGCTGGAATAGGTTTCAAAGTAGGTTTTGGGTCGCCATAAGGGTAACCAGGATAGTAATAAGGCCAAGACATCTGGGGGTATTTGGGAGGTTGAGGCTTTTCAGCTGGTGCTTGGGGATCCGATTCAGTGTTAGAGCCATCGGCCGGAACAGGTTTCTCAGCGGGCTTTGGTCTGCCATGATAGAGGTAATCAGGGTGGTAGTAGTCTGGCAAAGACATCTGGGGGTATTTGGGAGGTTGAGGCTTTTCAGCTGGTACTTGGGGATCTGATTCAGTGTTAGAGCCATCTGCTGGAACAGATTTTAAAGTGGGTTTTGGTCTGCCATGATAGAGGTAATCAGGGTGGTAGTAGTGTGGCCAAGACATCTGGGGGTATTTGGGAGGTTGAGGCTCTTCAGTTGGTGCTTTGGCAAGTAGGGTAGTTGTAACAGGTTTCTCTGTTTGCTTAGCTATGGAATAAACACTTCCAGGATAAAGATAATGAGAGAAAGGCCAAAACCCTTGCGGATATACTTGAGGGTACCCAGGAGGTGATGGTTTCAATGTTACAGTATCAGACGCTTGTGGCATTGCAGGTGCTTCTGGACTTGGTGTTTCGGGAGAAAAGGGAGGCAGCAAAATGTGCAGATATTCAGGAGGATGAGGTCCCAGGAAGGTTTCATCTGCAGTGGTAGAGGTCATAGGACAAGAAAGGACTGTTGAGTTTCCCTGCCACTGTATCTGCATCCCATAACACCCTTCCTGAAAGACATCATGAACATCCAGGTTGGTCTACATTACTCTGTTTTCATGCTAAATGGAACGGAGAAAGCAATACCTGTTGCACAACACCACATCCATCATAGGGAGTAGCATAAACAAGACCTCCATCAGTGAGTGTGGTGTGTCCACAGTAAGGTGGCAACTGAGTGAGAGGAACAGGCACCCCATTACCTATGACATAAATAGGTATGACTATTAGAAAACCATATGGAGTTCTATTTTTTTTTTTATTGATGCATGTAAAGTCTAGGTGGGACAAACAAATTAGTACAATTCCAAGATACCATATTTATATCAAAATCTTCAGTAAACGAAGGCATAATGCATTCCAGGTTACCTCGACAGAGTTCAACATTTGCTACTTCTGGACCACTGAGTTTTAACTTCATAAGATCGTCGCCACACCTCAATTTTGGAGACATGGCATCCCAGGCTGCTTCAGAAGAACTGAGTAGTTGCCCTTTAATTAATGATTTCTTTTGAAGACCTATATGTTTTTAAAAATATATAATTCATAGTTATCGTACATTCAAATGGACAAAACTTACCTATTTATATACCGATATTAAAACAAGCATTAATTACATACCTGAAACTCCAGCGTCGTAACTGAGATGGTCAAAATCAGCTAAGGGCACAAAATTGTGGTCTGACATAAATTGTTCTGAAATATCGTCGCCACCTTCATCGTTCGTTTTTTCTGTTCCAGAAAACTGTAGCAGACGTCTGCAGTGTATTAAAGTAATGCATGTGAAAGAACTTAGTATAATTAACAACCTTCCCCTTATTTTCCAAGACGCCATTGTAGAGTATGCTCGTGAGTCGTGACACATGCGAAGCGTCTATTAAATACCGTGCGGTACCGCGCTGCTTTAAGCACTAGCTCCATAAATTAACGCGTGATTTAAAGGCAAATCACTTGTTCCGTTTGATTATTACGCGAGATTCACTAGCTGTGACCCAAAGTGAAGTGCGCGGACTCCGAAGTGCACTAAGGACCCTTTGAAGTGCATGAGACGCTCCACCTTTGCAGATTTCCTAATTGGCCACCAGATGTTTCTGATTGCCGCTTCATCGCATAGGCAAGGCAAGGCAAGGTAAGTTTATTTATATAGCACATTTCATGCACAATGGTAATTCAAAGTGCTTTACATAAAAGAAAAGAAAAAATAACATAGCAACGATGCGAGGGCACAGCTGCCATCCTGACAGGTTCAGTCATTTTAAAAAAAGTTCTGGAGCCAGCATTGCTCATATTTGTTTTAATATTTTATATTGTACTGGAGGAGATGGTGGGAACGCTTCACCCCTGGGGTACCTCAGGCTTAGCCAAGACCGTGGCCAGGTAAGTTATATTGTTTTGCTGCGTCCTTGCCAGATTACAACTTTAAATGCAGGCATTGCGTTTGAACTGACTTGAATAATGTAATGATACACATAAAAAAAATAATAATCATGCACATACATAGCAGTTAAAATGCTGACTGATATGTTACCAAGGTACGATTTTTTAATAGTTTATTATCATGACCATGGTGAACATATTTAGAAAGGTTTGCAGCCCTGATTTTAGGCAGCTATGTAACCATAAAAATAAAACTTAAAACATTAATAAAAACAAATTATGCATTGTTCAGCTCAATGATCAGCGGCGACAGCTGAACAGTGCTCTGTATGGCCGGTGTTACGAGATTTTCGGTTTCCGAGATATTCTGTTTCAGTGGGGGGAGCATACATGAATATTCATGAGTTCCCGGACATGCGCGTGGAACTGAGAATTTCAGTTCACGCTCCTTGCATCTCGGCAGGTTTAATGGGATCTCTCTCTCTCTCTCTCTCTCTCTCTCTCTCTCTCTCTCTCTCTCTCTCTATGTATGTATGTATGTGTGTGTATATGTGTATATATATATATATATATATATATATATATATTG